CCCCCCCCCCCCCCCCCCCATTTTCATCTTGTTCTAAATAAAAAGATAAACCAAGTTTTTGCAAGCGTGCGATCATTAATGCACAGATAGGCTATCCGATATTCCAGAGAAATAGCTTCCGTTCTAGTGACATATCAAATCACAACCAATGAAGGTTAGTGTGAATTGTACCTTAGACTTCAACTATATCACCCCTGTATGTACCGACACCCTTATCACTTTCCATTCATAATAACCTCAATCTATTTCCAGCCTAGACGATAATATAATACCAGTTCAGACGGCTACTCTGTCTGTTTATTTTGGATAATGGGAGAGACTTCTGTTTTTCTGCATACGTCAGAAATTTATCATATTATGTCATTTGCAAATCCGTGCTCCAAAATAGCGTTATTAGCTATGATAGGATAAGAAATCTCCGAGGGAGATTTCGGCTAACCTTTAACTAAAAAATAAAAGAGATGTCATTAAAAAGGTTCTGTTATGCTTTGGCTATTGTACAATTAAAATCTGTAACTATCTAAGTATATCAGGGTATGGAGTAGAAGTCGTTTATTATACAGGTTAATCTATACAGTCAAGTAACCTAATTTCGTGGAAATCTATTATTCGTGGATTTCCGGAAAGGATTAATAAGTTACATGAGCGACCTTGCGCGACCTCCGCATTAGTTTGTTTTGATAAACATGGGTTTTCTGTACAATATCAGCTAGTAGAATGAATCCAGTAGTTTCAAGCAAGGTAAAATGTATTAATGTATACTTTGACAAATACAAAATGGCGGATTTCACTTATTACCAAACGTCACCATTTTTTATCGCCTGAATTTCCTTATAATCCCAAGCTGTAATCGGAATTCCAAGTGTCATCTGCTAGAATGTAGTCCAACGAATGAAGTCACGTGATCAACTAGCGGATTCCGTGTCAGCAGAAAATTTTAATGGAACACAAAGTGGACCATATTCTTATGTTGTTTCAGTGACTTTTAGCAATAAATCACGCTACGTATCATATTTTGTCAGTCACTATTTTTTTTTTAAATCGTGGTTCTTTGAAGGAATTGGCACTAGTTATAATGAATTGATATAAAAGATAAATACTAAGAGAAGTTAATTATACCACCCGGTATCCATACATACAATGTGTTTTTCTAGACTTATTTATAGATCAAACATTGTACACGAAAATAGGTGACGCATTCTGCCGCCGTTGCCGAGATGGTTGCTCATGAAATATGGGTCAAAGTGAAGGATTCATAAAGAAAATCGAAATAAACCAATTTTAATTATTTTGTAGAATATCTGAGGAAACATCTAAGACATAAAAAAAAAATTCGTTTTTTTAACTTTGACGAAATTCGGTGTTGGATCCTTATATCCACGAAAATAGGTTACACCACTGTAGTAATTTTCTTTTCATCATTCTGTTGCTTATCACTTTCATTTATTTCAATTAGTTACATAAAAAGAAGTTATAAATTGAGAAGTTATGATTCCACAAGTATCGGCAATCATGTTTACTGAGATTTTTCATTCTGAGAGACCGCCATCGTAATCTATAATATTTACATATATATTTAGGTCCTACATGGAATAGCAAGAGAATAAAGATTGTGTATTAACAACTATTTATTAATTTTGAATACATTCAGTAACATTTGTAACGGGAACATAAACCTCGGTGTTAACATGTACAGATAATATATACACCTTGATTTAATGTGTATATTTATTGGATGAAATTGACCAACTGTAAATTATAGTATCATTAGGCTATTTCAACTGCCTTTCATTCTCAACTCAAACTGTTTTGGCATTTATACTATAATTTAGTCGAAAAGATAATAATAATGTTAGTACGTGTATTTTAAAGGAAATGTTTCTACTATAATTTAGTTAAGGGGATAATAACGTTATTATTCTTAAAGAAATTGTTTCTAGTCGAGGGGATAATAAGGTTAGAATTCAGTTACCTTAAATGTATTGTCTCTCCTCAAGAGGCTAATGACGTTAGTATTCGAGTCTCTTAAAGGTTCAGGTTCGGCATTTTCGGGAGTTGATTTTGGTCTTGAATATAGTGTAAGTTCTAAAAATGTGCGAAAATCGCATAATTCCATCCAAAATACCACAAACTATTTTCTATGTCTATATATGACAGGATCCCAAGAAAAGACGAGTCGTCATTTTCACTTTCAAACTAGCATACTTCTGGACACACATAATATGCATATTATGTTTCTGCTATAATTTAGTCAAGGGATAACACATTATATTATTCTGTTATCTTCAAGGAAATGTTTCTGCTATAATTTAGTCAAGGGATAATAACATTATAGTATTATGTTATCTTCAAGGAAATGTTTCTTTTATAATTTAGTCAAGGGATAATAACATTATAGTATTCTGTTATCTTCAAGGAAATGTTTCTGCTATAATTTAGTCAAGGGATAATAACATTATAGTATTATGTTATCTTCTAGGAAATGTTTCTTTTATAATTTAGTCAAGGGATAATAACATTATAGTATTCTGTTATCTTCAAGGAAATGTTTCTTTTATAATTTAGTCAAGGGATAATAGCATTATAGTATTCTGTTATCTTAAAGGATTCATTTCTTCTATAATTTAGTCAAGGGATAATAGCATTATTATCTTGTTTCTACTTTAATAGCTTCAAGGGATGATAACGTTAGTTTATTATCATACGAAAGAAATTGTTCCATTTTAGTTAAAGGATAATTTTTCCTTGAAGGAATAATGGGGCTTGAAGTCTTAAGTAAAATCTTAGTTCTTTAATGTAGAAATTATGATTTTTTGGTGTCTTGAAGTTATTCATAATATTTTATGACGGAAGTCCTTTAATCGAGTAATTATCTTCACGTTAAATGAATACTGACATGTATAATTCTAAATTCAGTATTTAAAGTTTTATCTTCTGTAGCTGATAACATGATCTAATCAGACAGATGGACGAGTCTTGTTTATTTCTTTGTTTTATCTCGTGTAGTTATTCCCATGATGTGGTAGTGTTGTTAGACTAGAATGTGGTTTACCTGTATTACTACTCTTGCCGTTCAAGAAATAGCTCTTAATGGTCAGGTAAGATTCCTCTTTATAGTAAAGCATGGGACATATTCACTTATGGCATATTAAAGGAAAACTCAACATCGATTTGACATTATTCTGGTGCTGCGATAACCATGACGTAAACACTAAACATGTGTTTGCTTTTTCTTAGATCCCCATTCACTGTCAGGACGCTTGTTAACAGGTGCTTTGTGATATCATATGTTAGAGCTAGAAACTGATCTACTCTGTACAGTGACAGTCCTACAACTAAATAAATACAATAACAGTCTTGTTGGCTGTTTCATGAGAATCCCTGTTTCCAAATTTCGTCTCCTATCAGACTAAACATGAAATGAACGATTTATGCAAATTTTGCTTATAGTTTATGAATTTTACACTGATTAATATGCCGGAAGCAGGTGAGCATTTAGTTAGTTATAAAATTTTTGCGTTCAATTCTGTC